TCCTAAAGCTGTTGCTGTTATCTGAGGGCTGTTGTGCTGTTGTCTATCATTCCTGGCTTTTTATGGTTAAAATATCAAAAAAAAATACAAGATTATGCTGAAAGATATCACTAGTGCCAGCTACTAGGATACTTCCACAGGTGTGATCTCTCCTTGAAGATCTACTGCTGGAGCATTTTGCTTCTCCAAGGCCGAAAGTGATCCACAGAAAAAAATTCCGTGCAGACTGCAGAATTACACCAAACACTTGCTTTACATTTGGGGACATGAGAAGAGGATTCTCATTAGCGTTTATCCATGCTTTTTAAAACATTAAAAGGAGATGTCACGAAGGGCCTATCTCCCCACAAAAGGGGCAAGCAACTTTGCAGAAGTCCTACAGTCAGCTGGTCTGGTGTGTGACGTAAGATACTGAGTATCTTTCTGGCCATTGCAAGTCCTGCATATTCCTTTTTCTTAGAGATAAGAGGCTTCCTTCTCATTTTGTCTGTCACATAAAAAAAAGTCAAGCAGGGACATGCCTTGAATAGGCTTGCTCGCCTTATTGCTGCTCTCAGAAATTACAATCAGGCAGCTACTTATGACATCAGTTATTATTTCTCTTTTAACCATGTCTCCTTGCCCCTATTCATTCATTTTTCCCATCTACACTGGTCTGACATGGATTGCAAGCTCTACGGGACAGGGATGATCTGTTTTGTTATGTCTACATGCAGCAGCTACTCCCCAAGGGGGACCTTTCGGTTAACTGCAACTTGAATGCAGCAATATCCTCACTCATTAGCAGCAGTTAGGTTCTCCTACCTGCCAGCCATGGCTTTATAATACGCAAAGATCTGATCTGCCAGCTTGTACACAAATTGATCAAAACACAAATTCACCTGAGGGAGAAAAAAAAAGAGACATCATGAGGGTGTCACCCACATAGAGCAGGTCCTTCCTACGCTTGCTTGCAAGACCAGTACTACCCAGTACAAAGCTCTAACTCAGTGCGCACATGCATGTCACACCAACTAAAAGCAGCACTGCAGTTCTCACATGCTAAAGACAAGTAGAAACACTTCTCTCTTTTCACAGGTTCTACATGCTCTTCTAGAACACAGGTTCTACAGGTCCAAGCTTTTCAGTCTACTGTTTTTTTGGGGTTTTTTTTTGTTTGGTTGTTTTTTTGTTTTGTTTTTCTCCACGAGATGCCTGTAGTTATTTCACCGAAGTGCTGGGCTGGGCTGTCAAGCAGGACAACGTAAACTCAGCGAGCTCTCTTTCCACAGAATAAAGAGGAAGAGTACTTACCTCAGCCTCAATTTCATCATACAGGAACTGCTTTTTGAACTTAGTCAAGGCATAATACGCGCTGTCGTTATAGAGGTCCAAGGGGTACAGTACATACCTGAGGGGAAGAAGATATATCATCTCTTAACTTAATGTAGGAGCATGCCAGCCACTGTACATGGCGTGCTCTGAAGCAGAGAAGACTACAAAAATTGGATACACGTTGCCTTCACCCCTTTCATCTCCACTTACTCTAGTCCCTTGAATCCTCCTTTCTACTTCCTAAGTCAGAGCTGCTGCAAGCAGCTTGAACTGATCTAGATTTGTGCTGTGACTTGCCTAATCAATGCTTGTTTCTTCTCTGCTCTAAAAAAAAAGATTCTGCTCTGTCATCACTACACAGCGTGCACTGACAAAGGCCTTAACACGGAAAGCAAAGCTTTCACAACGAGGAAGATATCAACATAGTTAACTTGCATAACAGCAATTCCTCTGCTCATCTACTATGCATATAGAAAAAAAAAGTGTTTAGGCACCTCAGCCAGGACCCACATCCTTTTGGTTGTGCATGCTAGGCAACTGACACATGAAGATGAAAGTATCACTAAGTTGTGTGCATATGTGGCAATAGCCACCAGCTGTTGGTTTATGATCCATAAGTAAGCCACAGTGCCAAGCAGCAGCCTGCATGTATCTGCTAACAAGATATGCTGGTCAGCACTCAAATAGTACACATTCAAGTGGTATCAAGTCAAAAAACATGTACTTCCTCCTGCCAGCCGCCTCAAGGAGGCTCTTCACCCCCCCGTCTAATTCTCAATGCCTTTCAGCATTGAGAATTGCTGAAACACGCAGCAACACGCAGGCCAACCACAGCCCCACCAGCTCTTACTCCATCATGGAAGGTTCTTTGGTTTCCAGAATATGGTCCGTAAGGATCCAGGGCATGGACATCTCAATGGGAAACTGAATACGGCGGCCCATGGTCAGCTCGAGGAAGAATTCCCGGAACCAGAGCTGGGACAGGTCACAGCACTGCTGCAGCGCTTCTGAAAAACGCAGAAGAAATCCCCCCCCATGAGAGGGTGCAGACGTTACCACCCATAGGACCAGCAGGGAGGGACATGTAGCAAGAGGCAGCCGCTTCTGCCTCATATTGAATTGGTTTTGGGGGTCAATCAGCTTTTGGGATATCACCGTTTTTAAACCCAGACCATGTCCACACTGTCTCAGCACTTTGTAACGGAAAAAGAAACAAGGGATTGTTTCTTTTGCAATAGAACTCTAGGAAAATAACTTCAACAGCCTGGCCAAAGTCAATCTGGCAGATTTCTTCTGTGCCAGTGGCTTAGAAGTTTGACTGGGGCAGAAAGAAAGCTCCAGTCCTAGAAACTAAACTACCATCTGTTGGCATTTTTGCCATTGCTAACTGATTCACATTCTTATAATGCTTACAATCTGTAAACATGCCTGTATCAGGCAGAAGTATAACATTTGGAAAAATAAGGGAAAAGCTCCTGTGTAGGTCTACGAGGAGCAAAGATGATCTACCTTTGCCTCTCTGAGCATGCAAGAATTGGATTCAAGCGTCCCTCTGCCACAGTCTCACCACTGATGTTGAGAAGGTGGGTGAAGAAGAAAGACTGCTTGTGGAACTCCTCAATGGCCAAGACTATTGGCCCATCCAAGCTGCTCCTCAGTGTCTTCTTTGAGCCACTCTTGTCTGCTATGAGGGACTCCAGCATGGTCCGCACCATGTAGAGCTTTGGAAAGAAGTTAACATGCAGTTACCACTCTAGTGATATAACACCACACACTGTCATGGTGCCCTGCAGAAAAAAAATAACACCCCTAGCTGCCTGCTACTCCACTATCTGCCCACTGTAGACTAGAAATAATTGCACCATTAGAAAAAGGAGGCTTTGGGAACTACACAACAAGCTAGGCACCAAAGTAACACTAAACACACAACATGTGAGTGAAGACCTTGTGGAAGAAACCACGGAAACAGCTGCCAACCCACAGGGCAGGAGACTTTTACATGGCTGTAAGGCCCTAAATTCTCTGCACAGGAGATTGAGATTTACATACCTGGGTACTTGATGGTCCTACTGCTCGCCGTGGGACTTTTATATCAAATCCACCTTTGGGATCCTTCTCACCTCTCAGGCAAGGATCATTTGGAGGCTCTCGACCTCCCTCCCAGTCACAGATCGTCTTCCGAATTGCCTGAAGGACACTGGAATGGGTGGGGGGAGAGGGAAAGTTGTGCTTCAACTTGCTTTTAGTTCAAAGGGAAAATATTCACAGCTGTGCCCATATGGGAAGGAAAGTATCTGGGGTGGGGATATACAGTCTTTTTTGGGGCAGCCACCCTAAAAAGTTACCTTGGAAAGAGCTGCTGGCCAAGGTATATTGGTTGACTGTATACTATTCGTATAGGTAGTTCTGGCTGCGGAGAATCAAACTTAGGTGTATGCAGGGCTGTGTGCTTTTATAGTACAAATTTGTTATACAAATAAATACATTCACTTTGCTTTACATCTAAAAGTGACAGACTGACCTGATCAGGACGTTCTTCTTCTTCCTGACTGCCTGCCTCAGTGGTTCTCGCAGGGTTACCTGGGCAAAGTCCTGCAGGGCTGCATAGATAGTGTTGCGGATGGCTTGGTTAAAGACACTCTCCATCCGGCCCATCAACACTTGCAGACCTTTGATCATGGCAATTACCTGAAGTAAAAATAAAAAACTTGTACTTCCTATTTTTCCTGCACATGGAGAGATCCATAAATCCAACAACATTAAAAGAATCTGGCATTAAATTAATTCTACTGGAGTAACTTAGATCCAGTAATTAGGTGACTTTTATTTTATTTTATTTTATTTTTACGTCAGCTGCTTTACGGCTCATTACGAGGTGCAGATAGCACTACAACCACCAACTTCCTGCAAACAGCCCCTGTCCCTTGGCAGGCTCTGTTTCCACTCCTGGTCTCTTGGCATCTTTAATAACACACAATGCTGATAGTGTCAGCAAACTGCATGTGTTCAACACATACATGCAGCTGCATGGCTTCCAAGGGCATCTATCTTATGCAGTCAACAGATTTTTCCTCATCCAATACCGTATAGAGGAATTAGGCCAGGAATAATTCCCAGAAGGAAGTGAGCCACAAAAATTAACGTAATCTTCAAACCACTTCAAACTGTAGAAAGAAAAATGAATGTATGAGGGCCTCCCACAAGCAGGCTTGGAGGGCTATTCCCACTGCCCATGGATAACCAGAGTTATTGGGAGTCAACTGGTCCCAGACACTAGCTGAGGATCCATTCTGCTTGCACAGCACCTGAGCATCGCTCCAGACCTCGCTCCACAGCGCGCTGCTCTGGGAACCTAGATGCTTTCTTTCCAGGGGCCCTGAATCCCCCTTGGAGGAGATTAATACAGAGGCGTTAGGAAACACAGGGATTCACCTTTGTCTTTCACCAGCACATAAACAGAGTACAGGAAGGGCAGGATAAGAAAGACAGAGGGAAGTGCTTTTGTCATGCACTGGCACAGCGTTTCTATCCCAGCAGAAACTCGTAAGACCTTAAATTTTCCCCTTAATTCTGGTTGCTTGTGGGCCACAGGGAGCAGGAACCTGCTGAGCAAGGTGAGATGACCTTTCCTCCTCCGGGATGGGAAACTAGCCCTTGCTGGTTCTTACTCATTCCTGGTATTTTTCATGCTGAGCCAAAACTTTGAGTTACAATTTGTCAGGAACCTGCTCTGCCCAGAGCTCTCCCTCATGCTGGTCCCTGCACACTCGTAACAAGAACAGTTGCTGCCTGAATGACTGCAAAACTTGGATGAAGGAGGGACTGTTATTTCCATTTTAGAAGCTGGGGAGAATTTAATCAGTGATTTTCAAAAGCATGAACCTCTCAGCTGCTCGTGGACACCTGCGAGCAGGAGCTAACAGAAGACCTCTGAAAATTGTAGTCAAATACTCCAAAATACCTTTAAAAATCTGACACTTTGCGACTTATCCAGGTAACCTGGGTAGTTTGTGGTAAAGCATATGAAACTACCTCCAGGCCGCGCTCTCTGCTTCAGCAGTACAGAATAAGACAGGAGTTGGCACCTACTTCCACAAAAGCAAACTTCTCTTCACTGGTGTAGTTGTATCTGGTGGCTCTCTCATACTCTTCTGCTGTTCCTGGGCAATCTTTGTTACAGAACTTATCTGTGGGATGAACCAGCTTCCAGGAGTACTGGAAGATGAAAAGAGACACAGTCAACATGGCAATAAACAAGAAGCAGGGCTGGAGGGACTGAAAAGGGCACCATGCCAGGAAAACACTTCTTGGACATTCCTTGTAGCAACGTCTAATTGTTTGGCATCCCTTTGGGAGCAGAATGTGTGCTTCCTCCTGACTTCATTATTGCTGTACTGAAATGTTGGTTTGGGTTATTTGGGGGCAGAGAGTCACACTGGGCTCTTGGCACTCATGGACTTGTGTTGAGATGTGTTAAAACTTCCCAAATTAAGATTTTCTGTCATCGTTTGAATTATAGTTTTAGTCATTCAAGATTCAGACTCATCCCATCCATCTTTCAGTACTTAAGCGAGGTAGGTGTTCATTTAGAAGAACAGTCATTGAGTCTCCCTCTAACATCAGTGGGGGCAAAGGGTGGCTCAGCTCCAGCGTGCGGCCAATCAAGCTCTCTTTCTCCATTTGGTAGAGAGGGAGTCCAGGGTGATTAGATGCCTGATTTTAGCATGCTTATTAATGGCTTAAAGTTAGGTGGCATGAAACTAAGTTCATCTTTTCACATTCTGTGATGGAACAGTTAAAATGTTGCTGCTCGCCTGGGAAAACCAGGATGTTACCTACTTTGATGGACTCACCACTTCCATGACATGGGCACTCCACTTGGATAGCAGCTGCAGCCCCCGTAACGCAAGGTCAAAGAGCTCCCTGTATTCTTCATCCGATTTCTGGCTGTCCAGTCCTGAGCCAGTGACCACCTGGAAAACACCATATAGCATCATGGCAGGACTCAGCAGCTCACTGCAAAGGCTTCCAGCCGGGGCTGAGCGAAAGGCCGTGACAGATCTTGCTCTCAAATCCCACCTGAAATTGAATGTGATCAAGCTAAAACTGGCCAGTGCATATACTCTCTCTCAGGAAAAGGGGCATAACTTGGCAAGACTCTTATTACCCAGGCAGCCAGTTTATTTCCTATAAAAAAAGGAGTCTGACTTGTAACCTTAGAGCAAATAACCAACTTCTTCATTCCACTTTTTCTTACGGATTCCTCTGCGATGGTCTAATGGTACTGAAGTCCTCGAGAGCCCTTTACTGATTTATATTTCAAATAACCACATAAAAATGCCACAATAAAAGGGCTGAGAACTCTAATAATTCATTAAACTAACAATGACAAATAAGGATGACACAATTTCCAAAAAAATAGTCGCAGACACGTCAGAAAGGGCTCAGACATTCAGTGAATAACAAGAACAGAGCTGACCTCGTGAACTTTCCTCCCAAGCCCTGACTGATGTTTCACTGTATTAGACAAGAGCCATCTGCAAAGCTACAGGTGTTCTGCCACCTGACTGATAATAAACTTTAGTTGCAATAATATTTCCATGTCTTATTTTAATTCAGCTGTGACCAAAGGGAAGAACTTTTGCAATAGATCTTCCAGTCCGTATGATCTTGCATCTGCAGGGCCTTAAATAACTTGCTTTTTAATGCTTTATTGAGCAGCAATTTGTTTCACTTGTGTCTTTCTCTCCTCCTCATTGCATATGACCTTGGCAGACTGTACTCCCACTGGACTTGTCCTCTTCCAGCCTTATCTATCCAGCAAGCCTGATTTCGGTGACTGCCCACTGAGCTTACCTCACTGTTGCTGTAGCGAGCGAGCTCTGAGATGAAGCGGATGTGGTCGTCCCGGATCTGGACCATCTGCTCACAGATGTTGTACTGGGGACTTATGCTGCTCTGAGTGCACGTCCACCTGGGCAGAAAAGCAATGGCTTTCAGAGACAGGACAAGAGGCTCCACTCAGACATCCCCAGGGACAAAGCCTTCTGCTCAACTGCTCCCTTCACCTCAGCACTCTCAAAACGTCACCCTCAGGACAACTGCGTTCAGCCTGTGTCATCTCTCTCATCCCACCTGTTTGTCAGACAAAGCAGATGTGTGCGAGGTCTTCCAGACGCAGTTCCACACAGCATTACAGGGATGCTCACCTCACCTTTCTGCCAGAACATCTCTGCTTCATCCACCCTGAAGGTTACTCTCCATATTGGCTTCACCTACTCGCCATGGACAGAAGTGGCTATTTTCCAGGCCACTATCTGGCAAGCTTTCAGAGAAAGAGGACAAACAGCAGAGCCTCAGCATCACTTGGATCCTTTCCGCTAAACCTAAGGATAATAGTCCCCTTCAAGCTCATTCCTCTGCGCCTGAAGTGGCTGGATCATGCTTTCTTCTACCGCAGGGAAGGACTGCCAGGGGACAGCAAGGATTAAACTCCCACTCTTTTTTTGGTTCTGGCTCATGCCTCCAGCTCAGCACACAACCCTGAGTGTAAACAACACGCAAAGTATGATTAAATTTTAATTTGCATTGAGCCACGTGTACAGCATGGCAGCGTAACGGGGCTGTAGAGGGAAGGCAACGTTCCTCTTCCAGTGGCACAGTCGTACGAAGAAGTGGTAAGAATAAGTGCAAAACAGGTCTATTTATTTTAACACCTCCCCTTTCCCAGTTCCCTATTAGCCACATATGTAGAACCAGAACCGTTCCATCAAAATGCTCCATGCAAATAAACCTCTGTCAGTGGGACTCTCATGTCTTATTCTGTCTTCGCAATGGTTTTAAGTAGTCAGACCTTGCTTTTTTCCCTACGTAACTGGCCATCATAAGATATATAGTCTTCTGATCTGGACTGGATGTATGAAAAGGAGGTGAGAAAGCGTATTCCTACAGCTAACTGTGAAGTTCCTGCTGCCAATACTTGTGGTGACCAAAGTTCCTGGAAACGCTGGACAATGTTATTCCTTGTGAAATCCAGCCTCCCACAGTCCCATCACTTGACTCTTACCCGTTTCAACGTCCTGTGCTCCCACCAGACAATCGGCAGGTCACAGGAATGGCCAAGGCTGCACCAGCCCTCCCTGCCACACACAATCTAGTCCACAGTGCAGAAACAAAACGCCATGCAAGAAAAAAACCAATTAATTTCATTTTCATGGAAATAGGGAAGGAAAGAAAGTGACAAAAACAAAACATTAGTAAGAAATGGGGATCACAGAACCACCTTGGAAGGGTCAGTGTTGCAAATCCCATGCCATTTGCTGGGAAAGCAAGTGAGTGAGGAAGAAATATTTGTTAGTAAGGTACAGCAAAGAGACTGGGCAGACAGATTTCAAGACAAACATTAACATTCTGAGGAGGTCAACAGCCCACAAGCTACCTCGGTTTTGAGATGAGAAAATGAATGGAGCTGATATGTGTTTTGTTGAAATGTGCTTCTTTGCATGATTTGGGACAAAAAGATAACTTTTAGAACATTTTTCCTTTTAAACAGAGTTTCCAAAAATATTTTTAAAATTCAAATTTTGTGGAATATTTTAATTGAAAACTATTTGCTTGGGAAATTTGGCCATGTTATTTTCAAATATTCTTATGAAAAATTAATTGGCACTTTTCAACCAGCTTGCAGGAGGGTGGGGAGGGCTATTCCTGGGTGAGCCTCTCAGTGAGCAGAAAAAGAGGATCTTCCAGAGTGAAAGTGGAAGAGCAAACAGAAGTGCAAATGTGAGATAGTATGTTACTGGCTATCCTGATGAAAAGACAGTTTAGACAGACTGCTTTTCTGAAATGATGGAGAAAACTGACTATCACATTATGTGGTCCCACAGGTGCATTTTCACTCACTGCTGAAAGCTAGGCTAAGATCAGTGACTACAGCCAGCTGTAGTTCAGACAGACTGTGCTGATGTGTCCCATGCAGTTGCAAATGTTATTCCAAGAACATCCAAATCTAACACCAGTTCCTCTAGCAATAATTGACAAATATGCAAAACTACAAAGACGAGTGGGGTTTCATATACAGGAGGTGTGATCTGAATCAACCCCTACAAATTCACTCGATAGGAGCAACAAACTGATACTGAATCCAGATCGTAAAGCACTACTTTGCACACCTATGCCACTACTGAATTAAAGACTCCATTTCTGCCTTTCTCACACAGTATTCATTTATTTCCAACACCTCTGATTCCCAGTTCAGCTAGAATTCCT